ATGATGAAAAGAATGAAGAATGAATGAAGGACGATGAAGAATGAATGAAAGAAAGAAATGTAAGTGTATTACTCTCACAAATGCATACATCTGCAATAACAAGGAGTGGGAAAGGTAGGAAGAAAACGAAACTGACTTTCTTTGGTGCACAGGAAGCTTCATAATACAAGGAATCTTTTGTTGCTTAATTTGCTGCTCACCATCAAAACATGTAGCACACACATAAGAGTTAGGAAATGCCAGCTAGGCTGTGAGGCAGGTCTAGACCTTTGGCAAGCTTCACTGCAATGAAAGTCTCTCTTAACTACCATAAAACCAGCACTTTGGAACAATTCAACACTTGCTATTTTTACAACTCAGCACCTTCCTTTACAGTAAACACCCACTCAAGTTTTTCACTTAATAATACACTTTCATCTACTGCAGTACAATAAACCCACAGACCAGTCATATCTCATCACACCACTGGCAAGCTGTACTGCTGCTGACAGCCTCCAGAATTCACAGGAGACATGCTGAGCCTCCAGAAACATGGAAGTTTTCCTGTTTGCATACACGCAAAGGGGCCAGCTCCCACCACTGGCAAGCTGTACTGCTGCTGACAGCCTCCAGAATTCACATGAGACATGCTGAGCATCCAGAAACATGGAAGTTTTTCCTGTTTGCATACAAGCAAAGGGGCCAGCTCCTAAATCTGAAGCCATGCTCCCTTCCCTGCACAGCTTTCACACTAATCCACTGACCACACCACATCAGCAGAGCCTGTGAAGCTGTTGCCTGTTAATATTCCCTTTTTGTCATTCGGATTGGGAAGCTGGGGAGCATTTCCCAGCAGCTACCATCTGCCACAGGGATATTCAGCAGAGAGCGCTTTATTATGTTTTTGGTTTTGAAAAACCCACGGGATATTGTGGCCTCAACAAAACCTTTAAGTATCATTACATGACAGTTGTTAGTATTACTTGATAGTATGTCTTTTTTAAAAATCTTTCATTTTATAACTTTACTGAGCTCTCACAGCATCATTTACTGTTGTAAATAATAACCATGATAGCTCTTTCAACAGCCTAGTTTTATAAAGCATTTTTAATCAGAAAACTAAGGAAGCGCTTTATGAAGAAGATAAATACCACCGTTTCCATGGAAACAGAAGGATGAAGTGACCAAGATGCAGCAAAGCCCCATGGACGGGTGACATGGACATGCATCGGGCCAGAACGGCTGTGATTTTTGCCTGATTTACCACCGTACATGCTTAGTCACTACAGAGATGATGGGATCTCACAACTTCTGGCTCTGCTGTCCTTTGCACAGTCTGAGCATGGCACTGATGCACAGCAGCAACAGACACCCCTCACTAGTTCTCGGCTGTACTAAAGACCCAGCCTCACTCACACGCTTCCTCTGGCTTTTTGAGGGGGTCTCGGGATGAGCCCCGCCGCTTCATTCACCGCTAGCTGGTGTCTGCGTTTAACAACCGCGTCCCGGGCACTGACAGCGGACTCTGGCCTCCAGGGCTGCAGCCCCGGACGGCACAGGCCGCCCCGCTGCCCGGGCCCTGCGGGGCTGCCGAGCGGGACTCCGGCCGCTGCCCTCCCCACGCCCGTGCGGCACCGAGGCCCGCGGCGACTGCAGCGCGGCGGAGCGGAGCGGAGCGGCCAGCCCGGGGTGCGGGCAGCTGCCTGCGCCGGGCCGACGGAACAAACAGCTCCCAGCAGTGTGCCCTGGGGCCAGGAGGGCCAACCCTGTCCTGGGGGGCATCAGGCACAGCATGGCCAGCAGGGCAAGGGAGGGGAGTGTCCCGCTCTGCTCTGCCCTGGGGCGGCCACACCTTGAGTCCTGTGTGCGGTTTTGGGCACCACAATGTAAGAAGGATATAAAGCTTTTAGTGAGCATCCGAAGGAGGGCAACGAAGATGATGAAGGGCCTTGAGGGGAGGAGTTAAAAGGAGCAGTTGAGGTCACTTGGACTGTTCAACCTGGAGACCTCATAGAAGTCAAGAGCTCCCTCATGAGAAGGGGAGGGGTGGGCATGATGTCTGTGGTGTCCGGTGACAGAACCCGAGGAAATGGCCTGAAGTTTCAGGGGAGGTTTGGGATGAATATTAGGAAAAGTTTCTTCACCCAGAGGGTGGTTGGGCACTGGAACAGGCTCTCCAAGGAAGTGGTCCCAGCAGGAAGCTTGAGAGTTCAAAAAGCTTTCGGACAACACTTTCAGGCTCATGGTGTGATTTTTGGTAGAGGGCCAGGAGTTGGACTTCAATGATCCTTGTGGGTCCTTTTCAACTGAGCACATTCTGTGATTTTGTGAGCTTCCCAGGCCAGGCTTGAGGCATGGGTGTGAGCAGCTGCCTCCTGTGTGAGGCAGCACCCAGCAGCCCAGGCCAGGGCTGGCCGGCAATCCCTGCGTGAGCCCTGCCAGCCAGGGGCAGGAGGATGAGGGTGGTCAGATGGCCAAGGTGATGGGGGTCTAGTGTAGGTTTTGGCAGACTGACTTAAAAAAGGGAAGTGAAACCTTTGGCCTGTATCAGCAATGTTGTCCAGTGGGGCTAGGGAAGTGTACTTGGCACTGGTGAGGCCACAGCTTGAGTGTGTCCATTTCTGGGCCGCTCAGTTCAGGAAGGACATTGAGGTGCTGGAGTGAGTCCAGAGAAGGGCAACAGAGCTGAGAAAGCTTCTGCAGAATGAGCCATTTGAGGAATGGGTGAGGGGACTGGGTTGTTTAGCTTGAAGAAAAGGAGGCTGTAGCCAGGTGAGGGTCAGCCTCTTCCCTCAAGTAACCAGTGACAGGAGAGAGGACGTAGTCTTAAGATGGGGCAGAGTAGTTTTAGGACATTAGGAAGAATTTATTCACAGAAGCAAGTATTAGACATTGTAATGGGCTGCCCAGGGAGATGGTGGAGTTGCCGTCCCTGGAGGTATTTAAGGAAAATCTGGACATGGCACTTGGTCTAGTCAACATGGTAGTGCTTGGTTATAGGTTGGACTTGATGATCTCAGAGGTCTTTTCTTTTCTTTTCTTTTCGCTGATTTTGTGATTCTGTTTGGCTGGTCCTGGGCCAGGGCTGTGAAGGCAGAGATACTGCAGTGAGGGCAGCATGTGGGATCAGAAATGAGGTGGTTGGGGCAGGGAGCTGCAGGGCACCCAGCAAGCAGTCATTGGTCTGCAGCATGGTTTCCCAGGCACGTACTGAAGAAAACATCATTTTCTTTGGTTTTTAAAAACATTAATGTAAAACTTGTGGGCACATCTGTAGCATATGGTAGGACACTTTGTGTGTTAGTAGGTCTTCAGTGCAGTGCTGTATATATTTGTGGCAGCCTCCCAGTAAATCAGGGTCTGTAAGTAATTGCTATGACCTAATTATTTTGGTTTTGTATTCTAGGATGATAATTAAGACAGAGAGTAGATTGCTTTAAAATGTACTCCCTGGCTTGTGCATGCCATGGAGTACAAACTTGTGTTTCCTCCATCTCTCCATGGCAGGTTTCCTCTGGAATCCTAAGACTTGTCCTGCCTAAATTTATTGATGTGGAGAGAGGACCTCCTCCTCTTTCCCTCTTTGAAGCTAGTCTAAAAATAGAAAAGGGTTTCATTAAAATTAATTGTGGGTTTGGAAAAACTAATAGCACAAGCAAGTTTCTGAAAGAGGATACCCAAAGTACCCTGGCGTGAGAGCTGCTGCACGTTAAGGAAGTGTTACTCAGCCTCCTTAACCTCCCACTTTCAAGGTGCTGCCAATTCCGCCCTCTCCTTGGTCTGGCCTCTCCTATAGCCTAATTTATTCTTCACTCCTTCTTCTCTTTTTTTCTTTCTATAATCATCTTCAGTTTTCTTGCCTTTTTTTCCCCACAGGTTTTTTTTTGTGGGTTTTTTTGTTTGTTTATTTGTTTTGTTTGGTGTTTTTTTGTGGTTTTTTTTTTTTAGCAAATGCACTGGGTGGTGCAATTGAACAAAGTCAAACTCAACAAAGAAGACACCTCTTTCCTTATGGAGGCTTGCCAATGTGTTTAACATCTGTATAATCTAGAAAAGAAACTGTGTATGAGCAAAGGTTAATCTTGGTAGCAGAGTTCCATATACATAGTTATAATGCTAAGGAAAAAAAAAAATCTATATTGAGTCTAAACCCTTGCACATTTCAGAATGTCATTTGTGACATACTTTGGCCAATTGTGAATGTGCCAGGAGAGGCAGCAAACATAAACCATTTAAACAAGGGAGTCAGGGTATCTTGACAATATAAAGAGAAAAGGAGTTGTATGAGCTACTAATAAACACTGGAGCCTAAGGTGAATGTTTGTCCTGAAACTTTATAACGATGGTTTTGCCATTGACTTCAGTAAGCAAATAGTCATTACACTGCAGATAATGAACCAAATCTTGGTCTCTTGACACCTTGAGACAGATTCAACCTATCAGCTCCTAGCAGCTGGTTTTGTTAACTGTGTTAGCTGTTTTTTGTGCTACTTGTCTCCTTAAAAACGAACTGACCGAAGGGGAGCTATTGGGCAGCACAGTTTTGCAAGAATTACTTCCTTATGGATAAGAAATAAAAAGTAGTCGTACCCAATTTTAGCAATTACCCAACTCACATTAGTGCGTCCCAGAGTATTTTAATACTACCGCCACTAACAAATTCTTCACGTTGTTGTCCTAAATTCCACCCGCGTGTCAGCTGAACTTTGATTCAGATCGTGTTTAGGCTGGTAGGACGCTGGTGGACGCCCTCTAGGTGCGCACGGGAACACGAGGCGGTAGGAAAGGGGTTTCCCGACGCCACCGCGGGACGAGCCACTGCCGCCGGGCCGTGCCGCGGCCGGAGCAGGAGGCGCTCTCTGGCCGGGCTTGGGGCCGGGCTGGCACAGCGCGGCGCCTGCTCCTGCCGGGAAACCGAAATAGAAAGCGGCGCCGGGGCCGCCCCGCTCCCCCGCCCTCGGCGCGGGGCGGGCGCTGCTACCTGCGCCCTTCCCCGCCCGCAGCCCGCGGCACCNGGGGCAGGGCGCGGAGCGGAGCGGGACGGAGGCGGCGAGCGGCGAGCGGCTGCCCTCGGCCTCCGCGGGAGCAGCCGGGGCTGCGGCACCTGCGCCGGCCCCGGGGCTGCAGGGCAGGACGGGCTGGGGCTGGGCTCTGCTGCTGCCAGCGCTGGGAGAGTCGCGGGTTTTCGTATTCCAAGTGAATATGTCAAATGTTATTGAAATTGTTGCTGTTTCTTGTTCCTTTACGGTAGAAGTGGTTATTTTTTTTTTCTTTCTTTTTTTTTTTCCTTTTCCAGAGGGATTGTGTTTTTCAAGTTCTGCCGATAAGTTTTCTTAAAAGGAAATATGGACTTTTTTGCATTTCTAGTGGGCCGTCACTTGTCACTTAGACCAGAAAATTATTCTCTAAAAGCAGCAAAAGAGATCTTTATTATGGGTGTAGGATTGTGCTGAGCCAGTCTATGCAGTTTGTGGCTAGCTTTTTTGGGGGGGCAAGGGGTGCTCAGGTTATTTGTCTGTGTGGTCTTGGTTTTTAAATTTTATTTTTATTGTAGATTTTGTTCAACTTTTTCCATCGTTGACCCTTGAGATACAAAAAGTCTCACAGGGGCTCAGAAGTCTGGTATCTAGTTACTCTTATTTAATATGATGGATATAAGAGTGGTCTCTGGCAGCACACTTCTTAGGCAAAAGGGGTTGAAAAGCTACGCAGAGAATAGAGAAATAAACCTTTGACTTACAAATTACTCATGTGATGATGTTGAAATATTGGCAAAACTGGAGAAAGAGTCTTGTGCTTTAGCAACTGACTTAAGTATTTGCATGCAGTTTAATTTTTACACTGCAGGTGAACTCAGTTTTTTAGCTGAGAACCTAAGTAAAGCATAGTTAGTGTTATCATTTCTTCATGAATCAAGATTATATAGGATGATTTAGAATACCACATGAGTGCCCATCACTGATACTAGTACAGGATTTTAGGGATAAATAGGAGGAGTGAATTCCCCATTAGAAAATGGAACTTTTTTTTTGTCTGTAAGGGTAGTACTAAATTGCTGCATAATTTTAAAAATCCACTTTTATAGTCTAGACACTGCTTTTATTGTGTAAACATTTAGTGATTAGAATTTGCTAGATATAGGGAAGAATAAAACCATTTAAGTTGGAAAAGATCTGTAAAATTATCAAGTCCAACCCAGCACTATCAAGCCCACCACTAAACCGAGTCACATCTACGTGTATGTCTTTTAAATCCCCCCTGGGGTGGTAATTCCACCACTTCCCTAGGCAGCCTGTTCCAGTGTTTGACAACTCTTTCAGTGAAGAAATTTTTCCTAATATCCAACCTCTCCTGGCACAACTTGAAGCCATTCTCCCTTGTTCCATCATTTGTTATTTGAGATAAGAGACCAGCTCCCACCTCACTACCTCTTTCTTTCAGGCAATTGTAAAAGTAGAGGGTTTGCAGCTTTTCTCAAGCACTAAAAGAACTGAGAATATGCAGGTTATGGTCACTTCTTCATGTTATTCAGAACTTTTTGGGTAGTTGTGAAACTGCCAAGAGTATTATTAGTATTGTGCTCCAGTTTGGGAACATTTTGAGGAATGAAGCAGAGCTGGCACTTCCAGAAAGCTACATTTGGTCTAATCTGTACAGATGCTTTGTGCATGAAAATGCTCTCAGAGAGTAAATAAGTTTTACTGTGGCACACATTTGTCTTTATCCACAAAAGACCAGAGCATCTGGAGGCTCATGTTTTTCTTCAGAAAATCCCTCAGGACTAGTTTGTAACTTTACACACGAGGTCTCTTGGTTCCTTTTGTAACAGCACTGTTTCTTTTCTTTTGAACCCCACTAATTCAGCACCAAAAAAAACCCTCCAAAAACCCAGACCAAAAAAAGGACCCCAAAAACCAACAAAGTAATTAATATAAGTCCTTCTCTGGGAAAAAATAGAAATCTGATTTATATTAAAAATTAACTGCATTCAGGCTTTGTTAACAGCCTATAGCTTGGTCATGGAGCAAGTTGAGGTGATAGGGGCTAGAAAACACCCACAGCATTTTTTCCTTTTTGTGATCTCTCTGAGCACCCAGGGTACAAAGCCTGGGGCCTCCCCCATCAAGCAGTGCTAGTGACCACAAAGTTTCCAACCTGGCTGCCCTGATGCTGGGGTGTGGGTTGGTTAGGGATGGGTGCACTGGTGTAGAGTGCTGGTGAAAGTCACTGTGCCTGTCCTGGGGAATGGGGGCTGGCAGAGCACTGCTCTGCCACCATCACTGCCAGGGTTTAGGTCTGAGTTGAAAAGGAACAGACACTCCATTTCCCTTTTCTGATGCTGAATCTGCTGTCCGATCCTGCCTTTTGAATTTTCAGCACGTGGTCTGACTTCTTTGCCAACTCAGACACGTCATTTTACTTGGTTTTCTTCACATTAGAGCTGACGTAAATACTCTAACCAATGAGAAATATGTGCCACAAAGCTTCTACGTCCTTGTGGTGAGGGTAAGAAAGATAGTGATCATAACCAGAAACTGTACCTGGGTAAGCACATTGCTCCATGGCCTCAGGGGACCGAGTCTGCTGCCTGTCCTTGAGATAAGGTTTTGTTTGCTGCTTTTCGTTTTCTCTTTTTTTTTTAAAGCTTCTTTTTGCCTAGTTGTTATCTTTTGCCCAAAATAGATGGTGCAGTGGATTATGAAAAAGGGAAGTGAGAGCTCTCTAAAGAGGGCATGCTGTAGTCAGTTCTGCTAAAGGAAAAGGAGGTCCTACTTTTTGCTTAAGCAAGCATGAGACAAAGAGAATAAAACTCGAGACCTAACCATGGAAAAACTATTTTTTCACTACTACTTGGAAATCTGGATGATACAGTAGCTTGATTCTTTATTGAGTTGTCATTTTTTTCTGCAGAAAAATCCCCTGTTGTCTCAGCCTGGTGATTACTAGCTCTTCTTTCCATGAAGCAAATGATCTATATGAGTACAAACCAGTCCTTCTGCTTGAGCTGGTATGCAATGGCTTTATTTGTTTTGCTTTTTTTAATAGACTGCCACAGAACACTGTGAAATTATCATCAGTGGTAAATACGTGTTCAGAAAAACGTGATGACTTCAGGGATTCTATTGAGACCTTTTTAAATGGTTTTGAGTGATGTAATCAGGTTAAATACAAGGTAAGTGCTCTAGACATTTATGTGTTGGAAAGTATTTGTGTCAGTATTTTAATGACTGACAATGCATACGTTTTTAAGTTGAATATGTAATGCTCTGGAATAGAAAGAGACTTTTTGGGAAGTTGAACCCAGCTTGTAAATCCATTCCAGCAAACTAGTTGCAATAGTAACTTAAAAAGTTATTGTTAGGATTAGTGGGAATAGAACAAACTGTTGGAAACCACTTCAAAAGCTCGTTGCTTTTATGATAGCTCAGTTTCTGACTTTCTTCTGAAAGTAAGGGTGAAAATTTCAGTTCAAGTCTAGTTCTGACCAGTTGATTGCAAAAAGAAATATGGATTTTGTATCTCAGGTGATGACACTTGTGCTTTGTACAATGATACTAACAGATGCCTGTTACTATGGAATGACCTTGCTTTGTGACCTTTCCTTCTTTCTGGATACATCACATAAATTGTCAATACAAACTTAGCCATAAACTAACTGAGAATGTTAATATCTCTCTTTGTCATTCTTTTCCAAACAATGTATTCCTGTGTTTGTATTGAGGGTGCTCCTTCATTTTTGCATATCTATCATAGTGGTGTATGTACCTGTTCCTCTTAGGAAAGTTTTAGCATAAAAAATTCTGAGAGTGAGTGACAGCGGAGGTTAGCTAGTAACTTCTAAATAAATTTCATTAGCAAATACGTCTCCATTTTGTCTTCACCCAGGTTCCTAATTATGATTTTTGTCATAATACAAGTTATTAATGCTAAATCTGTATAATGATGAGCTGCTCATCACTTCTGATAACTCCTTTTCTTTCTTACTTTGCTAAAATAAATTTAGTTGAAAAATGTTTTCAAGTTTGTTTCTTTTTTTTTTTTCCAGGAGTGATTTTGCAAAGTGGACAGTAATGGAGTATATGAGCACAGGTAGTGATAGCAAAGAAGAGATTGACTTGTTGCTAGCTGATCTGAATATGTCTGAGGTGATAGCCATCATGGAAAACCATTATCCAGGCGAAGACATCGCAGTCTATGAAGACAGCTTAATTACCATGTGTGAAGAGGCAAATCAAAATGATGAACGTGCAGAATCATTACTGTTTTGTGAAGGGGAGGTCTCTTTGATGTCCTCTGTCAAATATGGGACTGTGGAAGACCTGCTTGCTTTTGCCAATCAGGTGTCTAACACTGCAAAACAATTTAAAGGATGCAGACAACAGGAATCTGGAATCCTCCTGAATATGGTATGTACAGCTGTTTTCCTTTTACTTGGCATTTCATAGACCATAGGAATTAGAAGTTTTTAATGATTCTAAATAAAGCTTAGTTCCAGAAGTAACAAGCTGTGATTTCCTGTGCAACCCTGGGGCTGGAAGGGGTCTCTGAGCCTATCGAGTCTAGCCCCTGCAGACTCAGGCAGCTAATGGAGAAAGGTCTGCTGTTCAGAAGGATCCACTCTGTTGTCTCCTAATATCCCTGGGGGTTAGAAAACATTTCCCACTGTTGAATACAAACTTGAGACAAGCATTTAAAAAGCAAAATCTATAACTCATTTTGTCCTTTCAGTACTTAAATGGGGCTTATAAAATGCACAACTTACATAAAAAAGAGAGAGAGTGACTTTTTAGAAGGGTGTGTAGTGATAGGACAAGGGGGAATGATTTTTAATAAAATTGTAGAGATTTCTTTACTCTGAGGATGGTAAGGCCCTGGAACAGACTGTTCAGAGAAACTGTGGATACCCCATCCCTGGAAGTGTTCAAGGCAAGGCTGGAAGGGGCCCTGAGCAACCTGACCTAGTGAGTGACTTCCCTTCCCTTAGTAGGGGAGTTACAACTAGATGACCTTTAAGACCCCTTCCAACCAAAGCCTATCTATGATTCTATGAACTAGGATTGTTTACAGGTCTGGGAGACAGTAAGAGTCTTCTAGTGCCTTGTGTTCATGCAGTAAAACATTCATTGTGCAAACTCCCAGAAATAAAGATCTAGGATCTAACAATATAGTTCCTAAATTTGCTCTATCTGCACAAAATGTCAGTAGTAGTAATGTAAGGAGAAAAAGCACATACTATCAGATGTGATTTTAAGAGTTACAATATTATGTAATATCTCACACTGCTAAATTCAAGTATATAGATGTGTTGTTTTGAGATGTTGGTTTTTTTTTCCCTAAAATTGTTTGTGTTCTACAAGCATCTCTGGATATTAGTGTCATTAAACTTTCATTTAAGATCAGTTGCTCTGGAAACAATCAGTGTTGCAATGGAATTGTATTCATGCATAGAATAAGCAGTGTTGCTGCTGTATTTTCTTAAGATGCTCTACATCTATAATCTTAAATATGCTGCATATAATATATTTTATATGTGAACTGGTTGCTTGAGGCTTACTGGTTACTCAGGTGTGAAATACCACAGGGTATTGCTTTATTCTGATTCGGAGGGCGCACTGCAGTTTTGCAAAACAATCACTTTTCAACTCGGTAACACTGAAATGACACTTAGTAATATTAAATGTTTCCTATGCTTAGGGTAGACACTGTTCTACATACTCGTGGTTGTTTTGCTTGCACATTGTTTCTACAGATGCATACAATTGGTATGAACCCAGTACTATTAGGTGCACGTGATCCCATTATGCAACTGAGGGTTGGAGCAGGGTATTACCTGTGCATGCATTTCACAGGGGCACTGCTACAGCATTTTGGTTGGGGTCAGGGGTATTTCTGACTGCCTGGTGACCCTCACTGGCTGCACTGTGGCTTGCATCACAAAGGGTCTTGAAGTGCACAAGCTGGATTTCTTTTAGTTAAAACTGAACTGAAAGATGCATTTCAGCCACAGACAAATGTTCACAGGGTCAGGCTAGGAGCTAGTCCTAAAAGCCTCCAGAAAACATGAGTAGTGTGGTGGTTGTCAGTGTCTTGCTCTCCAAATCAACTCTGCTCAGCGTCTCTTCCTTTCCAGGATAAGGTGTAACTCCTATGGATTAGTCTCAGCCCTTTGAAGTGCAGAAGTAGGCAAGCAAGATGTACAGATTGTTAGACATGTACAGATTGCTTTACCCTGACTCTAATAAGTAGAGGGAAGGCTTGTTCTCTCTATCCTAAGCAGAATACTTTTTATTGAAGGACAGCCCCCATGCTGACAACCCTTGGCCAAAGTTCCAGATTTAGGAACTTAGAATTAATTTTCTATCCTAAGCAGAATACTTTTTATTGAAGGACAGCCCCCATGCACCCTTGGCCAGATTTAGGAACTTAGAATTAATTTGTTTCATGTAGCACAAATCACAAATGACAATTTTAGCAGTCAAGAAGGTGCTTTCCTAATTGAAAAGCATGAAGGTAGATTAAGACTGAAAGATTACATGTTACATCTTAAAAAGAAATCTAAACCAAATAAATCTTCCTGATATGCTGTTATCTTAAAAAGAGTAGCTGAAGAGCTGAGTGTTTGAGGCCCTGTGACAGACATGAAATGAGAAGTACCTTCATGTGATTTAACATCTCTTCAAGAATCTTGATAAAGTAGCAGTAAGGAGATTAATGATATTCTAGATACTGAAATAACTAGAAGCATATTCATAGGAACTATTATTAATTTTGTAGCTGAGAGACTGAAGAAGCAACATCAGGGACCAAGCAATACTCACATGGCTGTAGCTGGGTGTTTGGTCTCTCTCTGTCACGTGCAGAGGGAGGGAACTGTTTGGGGAAAAGATTTAGAGCAAGATACTGACTTAAGTGCCCTGAATCCCCTCCTTGCCTAGTTGGTGATACAGAAGAAGCAAAGCTCCCAGCATTACCCACCTTGAGGAGGCAATGTTACTCCCTCTCTTCTTTTTTAAACTATGGTATAAAACTAGAGGAAAGTGGCTGGTAAAATCAAGGCAGGCTTATTTGACCTTTTACTAAGCAGCAGAAACTCCAATACAAGATGGGAAATTAAACTCCTTGCAGTACATGTGATATTAGGAAATGCTGAAACTCTTGCTCACATTGTATAAGATAACCTATGAGTAACAGGTATGTGGCATAACAAGTTAACAGATTACAGGAAGGACAAACATGTGCAGGTAAATCTAATAACAAGAGGTGGGTAATTTCATTAACCCAGCTGCTGTTGTTGTTGTTTCAAGACAATTAATTGCAACTTACACTTCATAAGTTAGTCACTGGAGAGAAACGTGGATGCCTAGGCTGTGAATGAATGCCACACCTCACATGCTGTTCCCATTTGGTGTTACTAAATAAAGACTGCTAAGCAGATCTTGTGCATCATACACATTAGTGATATGGGGGTTTTCCCACTATATGTGTAAAACTAATTAGATTTTAGTGGTTTTAACTTCACTGTGATTTTTTGTTATTTATTTAACTCCACAGATCACACCCAAGAATGGGCGCTATCAGATTGACTCGGATGTGCTCCTGTTTCCATGGAAGTTGACTTACAGGAATATTGGTTCTGATTTTATTCCTCGGGGAGCTTTTGGGAAAGTGTACTTAGCCCAAGACAGAGAAACCAAGAAACGAATGGCATGCAAATTGGTATGTTAGTTCAGTAGTTTTATCTCTGAACAAATATTGTATAACTACGTACAGTCTATTTTCAAAGATATCTGCATCAAATTCCACTGTTGGCTGATGATCATCTTGATTTTGTTGGCCTAAACAAGGTGGGGAAAATGTACACTTCTGTTAGCTTGTTTAAATTTTTTCACTCTAAAGCTGCAATTGTTTCAGCATTTTGAAAGTATCTAGAAGTGTGTGGAACTGGCACATGGCCTGTTGTGCAGAGTGGATTTTCTACTTGTCCTGCTGAAACAGCAGGGTTTTTTTCCCAGGGTAAAATATCAGAGTGAGATCCTGTCCCTGCTGGAGGGGGTAGTAAAATCCTGCTGCTGCAGAAGATTTAAGCTCTTGTCCTTTAACTGAGGTGCTCAGACTTCAGTTTTCTTCCTCCAGTGCCATTAAAGTCCCTGAGAACTCAGTATGTGCAACTCTTACTGTGTTTTAGGCACTGACTGTGTTAAGATTGTGAGACGCCTCAAAAGAGCTGCTGAGTGCTGCCCAACTTTTGTGCAAGCCAACATTTTCTTCCAGCTGTACCTTTTAACATACTATTTTGTATTGAGCAGGGCCAGTAAAAGTTCAGTTGGGACATTGGTTTATATCCCCATATATCCCATCCTAAATAAGTACCTGTATTAATTCTGTGTGTCAAAGAGTTGGGCAGGCAGCTGTTTGTCCTTCCCCTGCAGCTTGTGTGTCCACGTGGGGACAGATTGTTAGCTGCTCCTGCATAACCCACTGCAGAATTAAAGTATCCTAATATTTCTGAAAATACAAACAGTATTTCTCATTTAAATAAACAACCCTCTTATTTGGTTCACAGACACCACGAGTCCAAGGGAAGAAAACTAACAGAGCAGTAGTAGCTTTTCTGTATGTAAGCAAACACTGCTTTTATTGTCTCAGCAATCTGCCATCAGTACTTTTTAAAGAAATATCGTGCTGCTGGCGCTCCCTTCAAAGCTGCTTTCATTTCTTGTAAGCCATAAACCAGGGCTGATAAGGACTGAATTGAGGTCAGTAATGGGCCTGAGCACTGCAAGCACTGATCCACCTGTCAGGTGGGTGTGTAGTTCTGGTAGTGCAGATGAGTGCACAAAGCTAATGGAAAAAGCAGTGGGAATTTTATCTCCTTCACCAGGAAGTTTGCATAAAGCTTTTGCGTAATCACTGGATTTTGACGGGAATAACTTGCTACATTGCTTTTTCTGGAAGATTGCACTTTTTATTTGGGCATGATTCCAAAATGTCTCTCAGCTTTTAACAGGATGTCTCTCAGCTGCAAAGGAAGAAAAGTTACTTTGAGCAAAGTAAAGCTCAGTATTTTAACAAGTGCTCTACTTCCTTCTTTTCTGTTAAGCTATAGGATAATTAGTGTGCACGTGGCTAACTTGTTTTTGTTATGGATAACTGTGGTTTTGTTTCAATGTCCTAGGTCCCAGTGGAGCAGTTCAAACCATCAGATGTTGAAATACAGGCATGTTTCCGTCATGAAAACATTGCTGAATTATACGGCGCTATTTTGTGGGATGAGACGATCCATCTCTTCATGGAAGCTGGAGAGGGAGGATCTGTCATGGAAAAGCTGGAGAGCTGTGGGCCTATGAGAGAGTTTGAAATAATTTGGGTGACAAAGCATATTCTGAAAGGACTTGACTTTCTCCACTCAAAGAGGATTATCCACCATGACATCAAACGTACGTCTGTGTGATTCCTTGGGGTGCTTTCTGGTCCTGGCTGGGCTGGGGCCCTCGTGGAGGAGTCCCTGGGACTGAGCTGGGGCACACAGCCTTACATCTCTGAGTGGGAGGGATGGATAATGCTTAACAAATAGCAAGGTCAGGTTCTGGAGGTAATAGTTACTTACACTATTTATCATTTCACTCCAGCAGAGAGGGTAATTAGAAAGTCAGATCCTATGCCATTCAAGAGCAACTCAATTTAAATAAAAACCTAAAGAGTGAAGCTATCAGTCTGTGTTCAGCCAGAATATAAATTCATCCTGAATGTTTCCATGCTCACCTTCAACTTGCACCTTCTTTTAGGTTTTACATTTCTACACCACTGTTTCTCAGTTTGAGACACTTAGGAAGTAAATACATAATTTATGCTTTTTTTTTCTTTTAATAAGTTTAATACATGTTTGCTTTTAAAAACTCTGGATATTAATATCTATAAATAAGCAAACATTGATGTTAAGTCCAAATTAAATACACTAGTACTGAAATGCTTTAAAATTCAATTTTAATGTGTTGCATTTAAATTAGTATTCAATGCTGTTTCTCCCAGTACCACCTTGGCCTGCAGATAGATGCATCTGAGTTTATTTAGCTAAACTTGAGGGTTTAAAGTAGAAATATTCAGACTGAAGCATTGCAATAGTTCACAGAAATAAACTATTAGGAATTGCTAAATTTTAATCTCAATTTTGCATTTTTGTTTTGTTTTTGTTTTTATTTTTAAGTTTAGTATGTGTCAGTACTTTAGATTTAAGCCTTTGAGGTTATGACAGCTACAAAACTGCTTATTTTTTCCATTAATTTTTCTTTCTCATTTATAGTGAGAGTCTTTCCTATGGGTTTACTTTAATTGGCAATAACAAAGACATTAAATGGTCTAAAAACCAAACCAGCCCAAAGTCTACTACATCTAGGCAGTGAATAGGAGAGCCAGCCCATTGTGAATGTGGTGGATATGAGTGTGTTTTGCTTTTTCCAGCCTTTCCCTGTGTTGGTGGATGCAGGGCAGAGATTGCCTGGGGCAGATGTGGTTGCCCAGAGGGGCCTGGGGTGAGCCCTGACCATGCTCCTGCCTGTTTGGTGCTGGGGTGAGCTGGGTACTCCAGGCCTGGGCTGGAGCCATGCCCACTGCCTGGCAAGGCAGCCTCCATGCAGGGAGCAGTGTGTGTTTTCCCTCCCCAGGTGGAATCAGTAGAAAAGACTCTTTCCCAAAACCTCTGATTTTTTTTCCTCACTCTTTTGAGTTGCATTTGAGTCTGTTCTGCTGATACAGAAGATGAGAATTTTATTGAGAGTAAAAGAATGCCCTGAACAAGGAAGGGGAGGAAGACAGTCTGGTTCTTGGGAGGTGTTCAGTGCTGCCTCCTTGGTTGGAGAGCAGTTAAACCATCAGGCTGTTTGGTCGGGGGAGCTTCAGTCCAAAATCAGCTGCAGCTGGGGCTGGGTATGTTCCCAAGCAGGAAACAGATCCTGCTGCACTGTGGCAGTGTGGCCCTTTGGATGATGGGGTGTTTCAAATCCATATCTTCTAAGTTATCCCTAAAATGACAGAATTACATAGTCTGTAGTGCTGGTGAGGAGGCAGCTGTGTGAAGCATTGCTCCAGGAATCAGTACTGCTGAAACCAAGTCTGCCCTCCCACTGGGAGGTCATGGTAGGCACTGCCAAGACAGAAAATGGCCCACAGTTTCCTGTAAGGGAAATGTGTTTCTGTTGTGTAAGTTGGAGACTTCATTTTACCCCATCTTCTGAAACAGCGAACAAGAATTTCTAAAGGCTCACACCGAGCACTACATTCTTAAATATTTGATCAGAAATACAGCTGCAAACAAAGCCTCTGAGTACAAAGTTGTGCCTTAGGCAGAATTTTACGAAGGAAAGTAAATTGAGCTCCTAGATACTGCTGCAGTTCTGAGGGAGTTTGAAATGCTCAGTCTTCTATTAATTTTACAGCCACAGTCTGTCCTGTGTTGTCATGCTGAGCTGCCCTCATGGACCAGTGCAGGTGACTGGTGTGGCTGCTATGGAGGGGCCCTAGGTAGTCTCTGTTTCTGCCTTCACTTAAATTGTGACTCTAGAAAAACTTCTTGGCGAGCAACAGTTGTGCTGTTTCTAGCCAGAGCTGCACAGCATGAGATCTCCACCTTGGAGACCCTTGAACATCTTCAGAGCGCTGTGCTGTGGTGTCTAGCAGTCTTCTACCTTCCTCCTCTACCCTCAGCTATTTAATCTCCTTGTCTTTTTTTAAATTTTAAGCTAAGAAAATGACAAAACATTGGTTCTTCGACATAAATCAGACCAGTTTGTTTTTTAAGATACAATTTAAAATTGAACCAAATCATTACCAGACCTATTTTGGCTAGAGGGATATGGACTGTAGAGAGTAGTTGTGCTAATCTCTCTCCCCTTTCAGGAAGGCGTCTGAATGAAACAGGAATGTTGTAAAATAAATACCAAACATGCCAGACACTTAAATTATGTAATTTTTGGTTTTCTTTTAGCAAGCAACATTGTCTTTATGTCAACTAAGGCTGTTTTGGTGGATTTTGGCCTAAGTGTTCAAATGACTGAAGACATTTACTATCCCAAAGATCTTAGAGGAACAGAGGTAAGAAGCTGAAGGGACAAAAGCCCTTATATTGCATTAGTCCTATGGTTGTGGTGTTTGGGCTCAAATTTGAAGTTGGAGGGTTAAAAGCATGGGTAAAATAGTATGAAACCTATAAAAAACTTAACAAACATTAATAGAGTCTCAATTATATTTTTGTTTTCAACTTGCTGAATGGAATGCTTTGAAAGCCATGTCACTTTCTCTGCAATCTCATTTGTTAGCAATTGTTCACTGAAGTCAAACAGTACTCTGAGGAGGGTTGTTTGCAGTGTTTCAGCTGCTGATCAGAGACACTTCAAACAGGAATTTGTTCTTTGCTCTAGCAAAGATTTCCTCTGAGATACTCACTATGGACTGGGGTGACCTGTTCAACACTGTACTTGGATTCCTCCTTCAAAACCACAGCAATTACAGGTGTCTGGGTTTCATCTCTTAGCCCTTCTAAGCTCTGTTCCCCATCTACATGTAACCCTTTGGTTCCTCAGAGGTTGTGCATGGCAAGGTTCATGATTATCTGGTAAAATTGCTTAGACGTTACAGTGATGGAGGAGGGGTCCTTTTAAATGGTCTCAGTGACTTTGAGATTCTGCACACCACTTGGGCTGCATTCCTGCCGAGGTGCTTCCAGGGCTGGAGTTTTAGCAAACTACCAAGCACCAACAATTAGCTTGGATAGCTGCTGCAGATGTGGCATTTGTGCTCTCTGTTGCTGGAGGAGATTGTTTACAGGAAATGCTTTAGCTGAGATGTTGGCACTTACCCTTTTAATAGTCTTCCACATGTGTAAAGAGGAAATCCCTGTGTAACTGTCAAAAAACATTTCACTTTTTAGAAGGGGAGGATAAATCAAGATTTCACAGAAGGTCAGGCTTGTTTATTTTTTTTCCAAGATGATTGAGAAAGCACTTGAATATTTGTTTTCACTGTCTTTCTGGTCAGGGCAGTTAACAGCTTAAAATGCTTGTTGAACTGGAAGCAGCATGCTTTCTGGCACTTCATGCATGAGCTTTGTGGGGTTTTTACTTTGGTTTGGGGCTTTTTGCTTGTTCAAGGGGGTTTTGTGTGCTGTTAATAAGAACAGTGGTGGCTATGAGTTGGTAGGGTATTTCCCAGTGATGGAGATATGTGTAAACAGGACATTTCCATGATTATGGAGCAGACTAGACAGGATCTACTTCTGGGTCTTGAAGGACGGGCTAAGGTTGTGTTAGTAAGAACAAGTGAAAAGTGAAAACACTTCAGTGTTTGCCAAGTGGCAAACACTTAGTTCTTCATTTAATAGGAGGAAAATTCCACATGCTTTAACATCTGCAGTCCTGTTCTCATAAAGCTGATAATCCCCCAACCCTGAAATATGGCCATGTTTGGTGTTTGCTGTCTCAGGTGAGCAGCAATCCTGCTGCAGCATTGCAGCCAGAAATTAGGTTGGAAAGACAGCACTGGGAAAGGAGATTTTGAGATACCAGTGAAAGACTTACAGCTAATGTAGGTTTTTCTGCTTCTATAGGTTTTTCACGGTACCTAATCCTGTCACCCACAAAGACCTTCTGTAGTCTGGCTTTCTTGATTATTTTTATTTTCAAAGTAAGATCTTAACTCTCCAAAGTCCTCTTGAGTTTTGCACCCTGTATTATGCAGCCTTAAGCAGTGGTGCAGTTGTCCTGCTGTTCCTGAATGTAATTGTGAAACCCCTGGTTGGAGCTCTGTCACTGCATTGTGACAGTGAGCTGGCTGGTTTCTCTTGCATCTGGTATTGGCAGGGACTCGTGTCCTTGTGGGAAGTGGCAGGTGGAGTAACCTTTGTCCTGTGCATGTTAGCTGGGAGTTAGGATTTCTATTCACTTCTATAGCACAGGAAGTCTGAATGTAGTGAATCTTCTTTGTGTTGATAAAAAATGAGTAGTTACAATTCTGGGCAACAGGATTGAAAGATAGTTAAATTTTATTTAGATGCTGTAGTGTGAAAAAGAACTGGTGTTACTGCTTTTGTGTACAAGTCATACAGAACATTAAACTGTGGTTGTTATGAAACTGCTCTGCAGGAAATACTTTTTCTAGGCAGTTGCTACACTTTCTGTTATGCTTCTGTCACTTTGTTAAAATATGTAAGCTTCAGTTACAACCATTTGAGGGTAAAAAGTTGTCTGTTAAAGTTTATTGAGTGTGGAAGGTATGATTCATTTTCAGGAATGCTAAACTAAAACTAGTGCAGCATGAAGAAAGGACTGGTTTTTTGCTGGGCTGTGACTGGTCTGACTGGCAGGCAAGTGCCAGCCCACCAGTCAAAAGGAATGAGAGAGGGAAGTTTTCCATGGCTTGAGCTGTCTGCTTTGGTGACAACAGACTCTTAGGCCAGTCTGAAATCAGAGCTTTGGAGCTCATTTTTGATTTCTGTCATGGTGCAGTCAAGGTGCATCTTGACTATTTTCTCACCTTAGCTGCAGACAGGTTATTGTACCAGCATTCTTTTTTGAAGGCAGCTGCTACCTGCTTATGTAGATTTCACTGAAGTTGCACTGTATTTGCCAAAGACTTATTTTTGCAAAATTAGACTTTTTGTTATTTTCTCCTTGTGAGACTTAAAGGTGGAGGGTGCAGATGCACTGATTCTCTCTTAGCCCTGAGGAAAGCAATGGATAAGTCAGTAGCAGCTGCAGACACCTGCTGAGGCTTTGTACACACTTCCAATCACAAGTTCTATTTGCAGATAGGGAATGTAATTTACTGGAAAGTTTTCCTTGGAATTTGGTGAGTCCTACAGACATTCTCAATCTGTGGTAATAAGCAGTCAAACCATGTGGTGATGACTTAACTTCCTGCCCTTGTGTCATTTAATGTCTTTTAATGTGATTCTTTGTGTCAGAATGACTTGAACTAATTAAAATTTGTTTGAATCCTTTAGAGGGAAATTGGGTGAGGGAAAAGTAGGAACCAGAAGCAAATATGGTAGCTTGCTAACCCAGTGTGCTGTGGGCTGTGCCCATGTGGTGTTGAAACCTGCTCCCCAGGCCAGTGGCAGTGGTTGAGCTGTGCAGGGTGTGCCTCCTGCATCCTGCCTGTCTAGTTCTGCTCCAGCTGCACTCTGAGCTGCCTGTTGCTGGCAGGAGCTTCCAAGATCCTTCTTTAGACTCTTGGCAAATTCAAATGTTTCAGTGAAATGTTTGGATGGAAACTATTTCGGTTTCCAACAAGAAAAATTAGAGTTTTTTGTTTGGAAAAAGGTTAGAAGAGGGATTCTGGTCTTCATAGCTGCTCTGGGGGTCATCTGGTGGAAAGGGCACGTAACTTTTATGCATTGCCTAGACCTGGCTTGTTCCTCATCATCCCATTTCTCAGGATAATGCTCTATTGTGCAGGTTAGTGGATAAGAAGGAGGGGGTAAGAAGAGTAAAGAAGAGAGGAAGGTATATATTTGTCAGTTCTGCTCAGAAGGGTTGTGTAGTATTCTGTGTAACAGGGATCTGAACCAGGCAAAGCCATGGCTTGAACCTCAGCCTCTCACAGCTCAGCTAAGGCCCATAGCCACTGACCTACAGCCTGTCTGAGGAGGGCAAGCCTGGAATATGAGTTTGTCCAGGTACTGTCTCTTTGGCTGTACTCATATGCAGAGCAGAACAATCTGAATTCCCAAATGGTGCTTGCAGATACACTGCTATGCATCCCTTCAGAGCGGGGTTTCCAGGATCACAGAATGCCATTAAGTCATCTTTGGTTGTTGTTTTCCCCTGTTGAGTAATCTTTTTTTTTTTTTTAAACTCTTTTTTACAGATTTACATGAGCCCTGAAGTTATCCTTTGCAGAGGCCACACAACAAAAGCAGACATCTACAGCATGGGAGCTACTATTATTCATATGCAAACGGGCATCCCGCCCTGGGTGAACAGATACCCTCGTTCTGCATATCCCTCCTACCTCTATATTGTGAGTGTCCTTTGCAGAGCCAGCTCAGTATCAGTTGGAGGCTTTCCTGTACTCTTGCTGGGAAAGCTCCAGTCATACAAAAACTATCAAAATCTTTGTCAGAGAGATGATATCATCCTTTTTGCTTCAGGGGTGGGAGGGAGAGAAGAGTGGGTTTTGATCTCTTAGGGGAAGACAGAGACTGAGCTGGAGTTGTCTCTGTGATTTGTGTTTCAATTTACAGGCTTTGGGTTTGCTGGAAGGACAGGGTTAGATCAGTGTGAGACTTGATTGAAACAACCCCATCTGTCTTCTACTTGTCTGTTTTCCTTAGAAGTTGCAGATAAAAACTGGAGCCTGGCAGATTTGATTCTCTGACTCCTCCAGTGTGGTATAGAAATCTGGTGAATTTGCATTGCATTGAAGTTTAGCTTACTTGAAGTTTCTTTGAGTTTTTAAATTTATTATAAAATCTGATTTTAAAAAACTGAATATTGTGTAATTGCATGCTCTGTTCTAGTTGATCAGCCTTACTTAGGAAGGTGATGAGTCCTAGTTGGGGAATTCCCAGACCACTCATGTGGTTATCCATGACTTCCTCTTTCACTGTTTTTGGAATAACTGTTTCCATGGTCTTTTTTCATTCTGACAGATACACAAACAAGCTCCCCCCTTAGAGGATATTGCTGAGGACTGCAGCACTTCCATGAGAGAGTTGCTAGAAGCAGCCCTGGACAGGAATCCTAATCACAGGCTGTCTGCAGCAGACCTGCTGAAACACGAGGCCTTACACCCACCCCCCGAGGAGCAGCCGCGGTGCCAGAGTCTGGACTCGGCGCTGTTTGAAAGGAAAAGACTGCTCGCCAGGAAGGATCTGCAGCTGCCAGAAAACATCACAGGTAATGGGATCACCTGCCTTGGACTTCGTAGACTTTACTTGGTGTCAGATCTTGATTTGAATGAGTGGTAAGGAACCAACAAAACTCACAGCACATCTGGAAAGTGAGCGGTGAAAATCCCAATCAGATGAGATCAGACCCCGAGGTCATGGAGTGATCTGTAAAACGCCCATTGACTTCAGTGGGGAGGAACCTAGCCTGACTTCTCTGCTCCTGAAGGACTGGCTCTTGGAAAAGCCATGGCAATCATTCAGGGCACTTAATGAATTATAGATTACTGTCCCAAATGGACTCAATTTGACACTGTTTTAGAGAAGTTTTATAGACACTCTTGATTTGTAAATAACGACAAAGTCCAACAACCACCAAAATCCAACACTTTTTGCCTTTTTAAGGAAAAACACACGCAACCATAACTGATGTTGCTGAGTGTCGGGAGTAACTCAAACATTTTGTTTTAAAACCAGAAATGACTGTGGGATAGAATGCTGTTGTCCTTGTGCATTAGTAAGTACTTAATGAAGGATAATACATGATCTAGGTAGGAAACTACCCTTTCAAGCCCAAGCGAGATTTAGTGCCAACAAACTGCCAACAGGCTTCAAAATGCTTTTCTTCTACTTACCAAATACATTAGAATGGTTCTGACAAAAGGCATTTAAAGGCCCTTCCCAGACAAGTGGTTTATCTAATTTGGACAAATATTTCAAAAGATATCTGTGCTAAGTTTTGGGCACTATAATGCACAATTGTTGCAACAAATTCACTGGAAAAATCAGTCACAGTTTTTGGATTTAGAATGACTTTGTACCTTCTGGATTTTACCTTGGGGGTGCAAAATCTTTGACCAGCTTAGACCATCTGAATCAATTCTTTTGAGTTGCAACAAATTCACTGGAAAAATCAGTCACAGTTTTTGGATTTAGAATGACTTTGTATCTTCTGGATTTTGCCTTGGGGGTGCAAAATCTTTGACCAGCTCAGACCATCTGAATCAGTTCTTTTGAAAATAAAGAGAATATTGGACCAATAAACTTGGACTTTATTGTAGGTGCTTGAGTTTCCAAGACACTCATTATACAAGTATTCAGGGGAATTCTGCCATTGCAAACCCAATCTGTCTTTTCAGACCTTGATTTAAAAGGAATAAAAAATCTGAAACAGAGGGTCGTGTATTTGTTCTCTGTTAACACCCAGACAAAGATGATGTCCTGTGTTTAGATGAAAATTTCGCTATGAGAAAGCAGAATTCTCAGGTGGCAGAAAGTTAGCAGGTTTTTTTCTTGCACCAGTCTCCTATAGCTCAGAGGATGAGAAAGCTCTGCCTAACTGTCCCAGCTGATGGAGACTTTTTTTAAAGTAATTGAACACACTTGCAGTTGCAAACTGCTTCCCTTTCTTTGTCCTAGAGCTGTGGTTGGTTTGTTGGTTTTTATTTTATTTGAGGTTTGACTTATGTTGTACCGAAAAAAATTCTAAACCACAGATTAATAATATCAAATAATAGGCAAAATATTCCAGTAATATTGACAAATACGAAAACTAACTGGTACAGCTATTTTTGCAGAAATTACATGGTTTCTCTATTTTCTTTTTAGATTCCTCATTGTGTAATGGGAGCATGGAAGAGTCAGACCTGCTAAAGAGACAAAGATCACTCTACATAGACCTTGGAGCTCTAGCTGGTTACTTCAATATTGTTAGGGGACCACCAGCCTTGGAATATGACTGACTTAGTAACATTTTATGTTGATGAGTCAGAAATGGACCTCTACCTCTTAAAACTTGATTTTAAGACTTGATTTTCCAATTTGTACATAAAACTATTGCCATTATAGGCTGTCAAATGTGAATAGTGTTTAATTGCACAGATGATTAAGCTAAACCCTTACGGGCTCTGATAAGCTGATCCCAAGCAGTGATGTTTTTGTGTCTGCTGGTGGACCAACAAGAAGATGGCAAAGAGAACACTGCTGCTGGGAATGTCTTAATCCAGGATATCTTCCTGTGCTGGGCCTTGCACTTTTGTAAAACTTATAATATATGCTTGCAAATAATGTCAGGAAAAAATATAATATAATTTAGCATGTGGGCTGTAAGATTCAGTCTCTCTGAGCTGTCCTTAGAAGAAACCTTCCTGCAATCCCCCATCCCAAAAAAAAAAAAAAAAAGAAGTCCTTAATTTAACCAGTTGAAGACTGGTTCAGTCTTTTTCTGTCTTTAAGACTTGGTCATTCTTGGTCTTTAAGATTTAGTCAGCCTCTAGCCATTCTTAATGAAAATTGAGAATGTCTGTGGATTATCACTTGTTTGCAGGTGTGTTTTAACTTTGCATCTTCCCTGGGCAGTGGGAGCTAAGAAGGAGACTGTCCCCTTCTCTGTGGGTCAAGGGAATTTTTCATTGGCAGTATCAGTTAGTTTTGGGATTTGCACAGCAAGTTGGCCCTGGCAAAGTATGACAGTGACTTCAACTCCTTCCTATGTTACAACTACTGCAAGGGTATCTATGATAGTTTTCAAGAGTAGATCAAATGTTATTCCCTATTGGTAACAGTGGGCAGGCTCCAAATTCTTGCTTTTTAATACTTTAAAATTGTACACATGTATAATTGCTGTGAGTGCTACGGTTTGGAAAGTGTGTCATTAGTGACAAGCAGTGTTTATGTTCCTATGGAAATGGAATTATATTGTTCTTGCTGTGCCTCATACATTTGAAACATGATGTTTTGGATGATAGTAAAACTATGTAAACTGCATAGTTCTGTACATCCCATGGGATGAGAACGTAAACTTTTATAAAACTCTTTCTGATGCTTAGGATGACTCTTTATAAGCATTTGTGTTAAATGGCATACTGTGTATGTTGTACACTGAATCTTTTCTGAAGCACAGTCTCTTTTTCATGTCTGTTATTTAATGCTGCTCCTCTCTAACACGTGATCTTAAACAGATGATTTCTAGTTTGATACTGATATGGTCAAATGAATAAATCCAGCTCAGTGCCTTGAGATGTGGTCATTCTTCCTTCATCCTCAAACACAGCATGGGGCTGCAGCTGCATTTGGGCCAGCACCCCCTACCATGGCCCAGGTACACTACAGGCACCATCCCACTTGTTGGGAAGTAGGGTGAAGGTGGTTGCTGATGGATTTTATACTCTAGTAACAGATGGTAAGTATTTCTGGCAAAATCTCCTTCTCACATGCCAACATTCCTTATGGACTGCCTGGATGGTGCACAGTAGTTGTGTGCAGCATGGAGCACTTCAGTCCTGATGTTAGTTGCTGCAAAATATGCTTTGGGAATAACCCACTTGCTCTAGCACTTGGAGGAGAGCTGTGTGAGGGAGCCCTCTTAGTATTTATACTGACTGTAGTGATCAGGATATTCAGGGATCAGACTTTCCCTGTGGCTGACTTAAGGAAAATGTGACCTAATGGTTTGGATGGTCACCTTTGGTTTCAGAGACCTGTGTTCAGTTTTATGATCTTTTGCTGATAGCTTTTGATCTTTAAGAAGATTAATAGAATTAGTAGGAAGCAGCTTTTCACATAACTGGAGGTGGGTTTATAATCTCTCCCCCAGTTTCCCTTCTATAAAATTAAGGTATTTATTCTCACCTGGCTAAGGGTTATGCAAATGCTATACTTCAACAATGAGATCTATGGCAAAATTGCAGCCTGCTAGGGGTCTTTTACCTTTGCTTAAAAAATGTTACACTGACTTTTTCTATTTTTTTCTGTAATGCAGTCCTCCTTTCCCCTACCCAGCTAAATATTTCAGCATGTAAATCTGCATATGGAGACACTACTTAATATAGGCTCACTATTTCATGTTTGGGTTTGGTTATGGCTGTTATGTATATTCTTACTAAGAAAGTAGTAAGTGATCAGGTTATCCAGGTTATGTATTACCAGACATAAGTAATGAGGTTTGGCTGAGTGAACCAATAGCTCTTTATAGATACATCCACATGTCTGAACAGTACGAGGGCTTTGGGATAATTATCACTTCAGAGGACTGGTACACAACCAACAAGCAGCTGTTCAGGTATGCTGAACACCAAGCATTGCTTCCAGCTCTGTCAGCTTTCTAATAGCTGGGGACTATTTCTCAGGTGAGCCTTAGGCTGCAGCATAGCAGGAATTTCTCTCTGGAGCAATACATCACATCCCAAACATCCCACATCCCTCAAGCATATCCCACAGTAGTGATCCCTGCATTGTGTAGGTCCTCTTGTTTATACCAGCACCTGGAGAATGAGGTCAGGGAAATGAACTGGGTTAGAAATATCCTGGGAGGGGGAAGATTGCTCCTCTAATCTGGTTGCCTGAGCAGCTGTGTACTCACAGCAACTGAGGCTGGAGGTGAGGGGGAGGGAATGAAAATGGGTGGTGGGAAAACCCTGTGCTAGTAGTGCAGTTCCCAGGGTTTGGCTGGTCAGTGCTGAGCCACGGGATTTTGCAATGGGTTTTCCTCTGTTTATGTTGATTCCAGGTGTGTAGTTTCATTTTCTCTTGAGGGACTACTAAGAGACTCATGCTAAACTGCAAAGGAAAACACAAGTGCACAGGGAAACCCACTGCTCACAATAACTGATTGTGCTGGTTTTGTCTGGGGTAGAGATAATTTTCTTCACAGTAACCAGCTCAGGGCTGTTCCAGCACTGTGCTGGGAACGGTGTTGATAACAAGGGATGTTTCTGTTATTGCTGAGTGGGGCTCACAGTGTCAAGGCCTTTTCTGCTTCTCACAGTGTCTTGCCAGGGAGGAGGCTGGGGGTGCAGCAGGAGCTGGGAGGGGACACAGCTGGGACAAAGGATATTCCAGACCATACAATGCCAATCTCAGGGTATAAAGCTGGGGGCAGAAGGGGAAATATTCTGAGTGATGGTGTTTTTCTTCCCAAGTCACAGTCACATATACAGTGGAGCTCTGTTGTCCTGGAGATGGCTGAGCACCTTTCAGCCCACAGAAAGTGGTAAATGAATTCCTTGTTTTGCTTTGCTTGTGTGCAGAGCATTTGTTTTACCCTTTGGACTGTGTTTATCTAATTCATGAGTTTTCTCACGTGTACCATTTCAGTCCTCTCCTTCACCCCACCAGAAGGGAGTGAGTGAGTGGCTGTACAGGATTTGGTTGCCTGCTGAGGGTAAATCACACCACTGATGAAATTAGGGAGTCAAATGTGCCTTTTATTCTCCTGGGCTTAGCAGGTTTCTTATCTCAGCCTGTGACCCTGGGACTGAGATCACTGTGACACTCCTCAGCAAGACTTCCTGATGTTTGGAAGTTTGACAGAAGCTGCAGGAGAAGTACAGAGCACTTTGCCAGCCCTCCCTGTGTGCAGAGCAGACGGGAATGGGGAATGAGGCTCCTGGCCAAGCATTAGTCCCTTTGTTGGGACCCTGGGGAAAACAGTCCATTGCTCTGGCTAATTGGCAGAAGCAAAGAAGCAGCTGGGGAAGAGCCACTGGAGGTGTGACCCTGCTACAGCCAGGGCCAGATTGGCTGTCTGGGAAGGACTGGGACATAGGAAGATGCCTGGTTCAGTGCATGGCCAAAACTGGGAATATTTGCATGGCTGGGAGCAGCTTCCCTTGGGGCTCTACTAGCTGCTTCCCAGGCAGGCTCAGACACCATGAGGGCTTCCTTTGCTTCCTATGCTTTGCTTTGCATCCCATGCCCGGGGACTTTGCAACTTCCCAACACAAGGGCACCAAACCACTCTTTGGAGACCAAAAAGCTTTTTCTTTTCTTACAGGAAAGGGCCAGCAAGGTCCATTTCTAAAACTGTTACCATCCAAAGCTAACAATTCGGGCGAGGTGAAAACAAGTCTTTATAAATCGTGTGCTGACTGAACTCAGCAACGCCCAAAAAAAATTCCAGCCAGACTTTGGGAGTGGCTGGTTACAGTGCCATGGGTGCACGCATGCTGCTTCGGGCTGGTCACCAGACACAGCCACACTGACAGATACTGGGGCGTGGTGACTCACCAGGAGGGAGGCGAGCGGCTGTGACAGCTTTGCTCACCTGCACCCAACACCTCCACAAGCTCCGTGCACGTGGCACCTGAGCACGGAGCTAGCCCGGCCACAGGGACAGCCTGAGCCTGTCCAGGGACAGGGGGGTTGGTCCAGAGAGAGCCTGTGAGGGGGAGGATGCTCCCAGAGTGAGGTGTGCAAGAGAAAATGGCTGCACCTGATCTCATCAAAGCTCCATGCAATGGCAGCCTCAAATCTGGTCTCGAGTGTGAGCCCTGTTCCTGCAGGAGCCATTGTCAGAGGAGGGATGCTACCACAGTGTCCCTGCAGAGACCACGCCCCACTTGCAGGCTGTGACATTGAGCACAGCTTTGTCACTATGAAAAAGTCAAATAATGAGTGATGTTTGCAGAGTTTAAATCCTTCCTGGTGTTCATAGCAAGTCACATGCTGAAGTGTCATGCAGCCAAAGAAGGATGAGAGATGGAAATGAGAGAAGGCAGGGAGGGACTCCACGGGGTGAACGTGCAGCCCAGGAGGACAGGGTGGCAGGAACGTGTCCTTCAGGCCTCCAGAGGTGAAGTGCTCAGCCCAGGGGCTTATCAAGGCTGCTGGCATGGCAAAGGGTTGCCTTCTTCTCTGCCTCTCACAGTAAGCCAAGGTCAACTTTTCTCCCCCTTCCCTGATTGTTTAACCACAGCTGGCACCCAAGCATTGTGCAGCTGCTTGCTCAGCCCCTCCCCATCCCTGGAGGGAAAGGAAGAACACAAGGGACTCAGAAAAGAAAAAGGAAAAGAAAACAAAACTTGTGGCTTGAGACAAGAACAGTTTAATAACTGAAAAAAAGTAAAATGTGATAATAATAATAGTAACAATTGCAATTAAAATTTAAAAAAAAAGAAAATAAAAAATGAAGAAAAAAGGAGTGATGCATAATTCAATTGTTCACCACATGCTGGCCAATGCCCAGTCTATCTCTGAGCAGCAATTTACACCTGAGCAGCTCTCTTCCCCAGTTTATACACTAAGCATGGTTTTCTGTGGTGTGGAGCATCCCTTGGCCCGGTTTGGGTCAGCTCGCCTGGCTGAGCTTCCTCCCAGCTTTTTGTGCTCCTCCTCACTGGCAGAGCATGAGACACTGGAAAGTCCTTGACTTTGTGTAGGCACTACCCAGCAACAGCCAAAACATCAGTGTGTTATCAGCAGAAGTTTCATTTTAAATCCAAAACATGGCACTAAGAAGACCTTAGCAGTACCAGTTTTATTCTAAGAAAAATAATTCTGTTCCAACTGAAACAAGAACACCTCCCCCGTTTAAAAAAAAAAAAAAAAAAAAGGAGAAAAGCAAACACAGTTTGCCCAAAGAGGAAGTCTACAAAACCTGTGTGAATTTCCAATGTAGGTCTTTTCCCTTTGTCAAGTCCTCTCTTGCCTGTTCAAATGGCAAGTGAGTAGGAGCTGCTGCATGTGGCCCTGCTACAGGTGAGCCCATTGAGTGCTGACCCCGAGCAGAGCCTGTGCCTGTGTCCCACCATCCCTGCAGATGCTCCTTCACAAGCCTCTATTCACCAAGTGGGACAGAGATCCCCTCCAACAAATTAACTGTCTCTCCTTAGTTTTGTGCACACTGACAGTTTCCAAGGCTGACCTGGTGTCCCCATCAGCCAAGCAGCTTCCCTCCCCCCTCACAGTGCTGTCTGCAGCCCTGTCACCCTGTCTGCTCCCCACAAGTCACTGCCTGCACTGCACCTCCTGCACTGCCAGCCAGCCTGGTGGCCCTCTGGCACAGATGCAGAGGGACTTGGGGGAGGCTGGCACATGGATCTGCCTCTGCACTGGGCCACCAGCCCCTGGGATGGCATCTGCCAGAAGTGGCAGAGATAGGGGTGCCTAGGGACCCCTGGATCCTTCTCCCACTGAGCTCCTGCCACAGAGCCTGAATGTCCTGAGCAGAGCCAGAAGCACGGCCATGGCCCAAGGATGGCAGCAGCCCAGTGACACTGTGCTGCCATCCCCACATGCTG